ACACATACGATAAGTAAGTTTTAACAACGTTGTTAACAAATCCGATAAAATTTAATAGAAAATATTTTATGATTATTGCCGCCGCCAACATATTGACACGTACACATCACTGTTTAGATATGTTTCTTTTTTTCTTTTTTTTTTTTTTGTTTTTTTTTTCTTGTCTATAAAATTTTCCAATTTTTCAATTTAATGTTTATTTTGGTTTTTTTCTCTTGTGTCCGTTTACCATAAACGATTTATTTATTAAGAAATGTGTGTTGTATAAATTTTATTGATATTGTTAAGCGAATAAAAGCCTAAAATTAGGCAATTAAATAAAATGTTTAAGAAAGCATGACTGTTAACATTGAGTCCGAGTGTGCGCCAGCATATGGAAATCGTAAACTTTCTATTTTCACAGACGTGTGTAAGAAGTTCCCGTTTCTAATGTTATTAACTGCGTCGATGCTGAAAACGAAAAGAAAAATAAAAAATAAAAAAAAATAAAAAAAAAACACAAAATATATAAAACAAACAAGGGAAGGCTAGGCCGGCTTACATTCATAGAATGTTCAAAGTCCATTCATATGCTATAAACGTTCTTACATATCTACATATTGAGTTGCGTATATATATAGAGAAATCTATGTATATATATATATATATATGTATATATATCTTCTTTTTTTGCATTTAGTTTAAAATGTATGGTAAAAAAAAAAGAGTGCATTTTACGCTTCATTAGCCATATGACAGGTTTTCCGTCCGGCACTTTACCTGCGGTGCTCGCTTCTAAACACTTAATCGTTTTAATTAAATTTTCACTGCATTTCAGCTAAAAACGAGCAATGGATTTGCAGAATGACTTTCCCTACGAGAAAATCGGTAACGATTTAAAAGCAAAAGCGTTAGTTAAGCCTTTTTCCTGAATTACGCTAGAGCTCTCAGCCAGCGATACGAATTTCTCGTCAACAATAACGCTTTGTGCGTGAATGCTGTCTGTACAATGGCAAAAGACATAAATATGCCTTAGCTCTGTAAAACTCTGCAGGTCTGCTTGTTGCTTTTGATAATGATAAATAGAAGATGACATGGTTCAAATTGTACTTAATTCTGATGGTCATTGAAGTTTAAGAGGGCTGGGGCACAGTTGAGTGTGTGCGATGTGATCACGTCTCTGAAAGCATTATTTCCTCGAGAAAGAATAGTATACTGGATGGGCTTCCGGGACATGTTGTCAAGTCCAAAGAGAAGGCCAAAAGCTATACAGCATGGCCTATGTCCAAAAATGGAACGATAAGCCCTAGGTTTAGGAGTAGCATTGCTTGTGTTGTGACGATGCCCACATCTCATCTGACTACAGGGATAAATGCCTTCTTGCTTGTCTGCTTGATACGGTCCTCCGGGGAGTATCGTGGTGACTGCGGTTACCCCGAACTTTCGTGGAGAACTAAGTAAAAAGTAGAAAGGCCTCGGCGTCTATTAAAAAGCGAGAGAATAGCTCGCAGCAATTTTCTATTTTGGTGCTTTAGGAGTAGTAGGGTCCACTCCGATGCGGATTGTCCTGCTCCTTCCTTGGGCGCTTCAGTTATCACTTATCAAATTAATTCACATGCCATCCGGCGCTGTGGGATTAAACCTGCAAGATACTGTATTCATGTAAAACCACCTAAGCCACGAGGAACCTGCGCTTAATGAATTACAATTTCATCCAGAAATTATAAAATCGAGCGGAGAAAAATTCTGGCTTTTCTTTCAGCGAAATTCATGATCTGCTGATACAAACTGAATCAAGTGATTTTCATAAGTTTTCTCTGACGTTAGTGTTCCGTTATTAAGGAAGGTCTGCAGAGAGCAAGACAACTAACCGATAGTCGCACAGAGTAAGATCGGAGCAAAAAATTTTAAATTTTGCCCAAAACATTAAAGATGCGTGCGGTTTGTCAATAGATAATGACCCACACTTACCATTGCTTCGTTCTGGACGTAATTTTTTTGTCTGTGTGTATTTGTGCGCGCGCGTGTACATTGGCTTGAAACGGAATATGACAAAGTTGGCACACACACTGACTACGATTGCATTACGTTTACGACCCGCTCAACAATGTTTCGTTTGTCTCTATGTAATTGAGATATGTGCACTAACGCTACTTTATCTGACAAAGTATTTTTAAAAGAAAAATAAAAATGATGATTCGGTCAAATAATAATTCGTTCTAAACAATGCAGGATAAGCAACTTTATAGTTTCACGAACAAGCATATGTGTACATACATACATACATATATATGAGTAAATGAAATGATTCATACGTACATGTAATTGGCCAAGCGATCTTTGTTTCTTTATGCAATTGGGCAAACGGTTGATGTCGAGGCGCTTCATCGTCCGCTGAGTAGTCCGTTCTTTTTTAATTCTCTTCCTTACTGCGGAGACATGCTATAGAGACTAGGAATAATTATAGGTAGGAGATGATCTTTGTACCTTTAAACTTGCGGACGATTGCATCATTTTTATTTCACTTAGCCTGTGATCAATGGGCGACAAATTGTCGAATACATTACACTGCGATTGCGGCACTTTATCGCAATAACTGCTCAGGCAGTATTATACGGATCTCATTATCGACCTGGTTCCTGCCTAAGACGCGATTGTATCATTATTGTATTTTCGTCACCTGATTTAAGCGATATGGTGCCATATAAAGCGAAAAGTTTGCAAAACAGAAGAATCTAAAAATTTTAGATCCATGGCGCATAGGCATGGCGCGGTGGATACATTAATGTATCTCAGTAAAGTACTCTTTTCGTTCCTGAAAGAAGGTTTCGAAGAACATCCCTTCTAGTAAGAAGTTCCCTCAGCTGCTTTAATATCTAAATTTAACGGATAGCTCAAATGTTTACTTCATTGACGGCGCATATCAAAAGCCTTCGAGTGCTCTTCCATGGTTAGTGGAGGAGTTTAACTCGTTTCGCCGGCACTTTACTTTATCACTTCATCAACGCTCGAGTATGTATGTTTAGTTAAGTTACGTATACTAAGTTGCAGCAGAAATCCGAAATCAGAATTTTGATCTTTTCAGGTACAATTTTTTCATGGGAAGAAAAAATTAACAATTTTATGCGACATAATCATTTCTTAATAATTCCCAAGGAATTCGCAAAGCAAAGGAAAAAAAATAAGGAAAACAAAAAAAATTCATCAAAAAGTAATAACGGTCCACACACCATACCCCTCTCCAAATTCTCATATGGTGGTTTCAATTATTATTACTTAAATGCAAAGTCGTATCAAAGTAAATTTTACAATTTGTGTCGGTCTACCCGCACCAGGAATCGAACCTGGGTCATCCGGCTCACGGCCGGCTGCCCTAACCATTAGACCATAAGGTAGCCGAACTCCCACGTGACAATTTGTTTTCAAGTGTTCAACGTTAAAAAAAGAAGAAGAAAATAGAATTCTGACTTTGAGAAATTAACGGAACCTATCATGTGTTACCAACACCACTTACATGATCACATAAAACAAGGAATGCGTTCGTTTTATATGATTTAAAAATAATACACGCATGGGTTTCGAACTCAGACCCCAATAACGTTCAAATCTTATCAAATCTTATGCAGACCATACTTTATTGTCGTGGATAGTCATCATGCTCAAAAGCAAACTTCAGAGACGCCATAAAGTACATATATACTTGATCAACGTGAAATTCTGAATTGAATTATCTCTGTCTATTCGTTCGTATGGCTGTGTGGCATGCGTTGTTGGCACCCTCCTCGTCGCAAAAATGAAGATACTGACTGCAAATTTGGTAGAAACATTGCAAGTTTCTGCACGCAGATTGGTATTAAAAATGGTCTCAATCGTTTAGGGCGGAAGTGCGCAGTGGAGCGTAAAGTGAACGCAACTACGTTTGTTTTTTTTAAGAAAAATTTTTGGATATTTGCTCGTTACTTGGAAATGATTAAATGCCAGAGGGCTGAAGTTTTATACATTTACGTTACGAAGCACTCTACTCCTTACGTGCAAAAATGGAAAATATCCGCTACGCCCATACAAAGTAAAAAGTGATTAAATTTTGTTTTTTTTTTTTTCACTTTCTTGAGGTTTTATGTTTATTTGCAGCTCGAATGGGAAATTCTTACACATCCCGTGTATTCATCAAACATAGCGTCTTCTGATTATCACTTGCTTGGATCGATGCAGGATGAGTTGATTGACACTCGGTCCCGAAATGCTGAAGAAATGTGAAAATGATTCGATGATTGGATCGTTGTCAAACCAATAGCGTTATTTCGATAGGGTATCGCCATGTTGCCAGAAAGATGGGGAAAAAGTTGTAGAAAATGATGGAACTAATATACACAATCGATACATTGTACGAATTCTACTCAATGAATGCCTTTTTCAAATGAAAAAATGATCAATATATATGCAAGTCAATATAATGATCCTATTATACTTTACCGTAATTTATATACGCTTAGAATAAGTTGTAATCTGATTCAAAAAAGTTAATACACTTGTCGGGTATCTATGAGTTTAGCTCACAGAACTGAACGCCTGGGCAGACACTGGAAGGGTAAACAGACACGCAAGAATAAAACGAGTCAAAAAATAATTCTAAATCTGAATGTAATGATGTAATGAAAGGTGAACGTTACACATACAACTGCACTCTGCACTCAAGCTCAGCTCAACTGAACGCGGAACGCGGAACGCGGAACGCGGACAAACAACGCAAGCGATAAGAATGAATATGTTGCAGCAAGTACAAGCACAAATGCTTGAGTACTATACGCGAGCTTGTGTTAAGCTTAAGCATAGATTTTATGCAAATCTATTAAAATTTCTTACCCTTTTTTTGTCGTTAGAAATAAAATATTTGTCACTTAATCATTATAATTTATTTCCTGGATTATTTAACAGATATATGTGAAAAGTTGACTACACATGCCAAAGGAAATCTTTTTAACTTAACTGCTAACACAATGCTGAGCATAGTGTGAACGCAATGCGAGTTTCACGTACGTTCAGTAAATAATAAATTCCGCAAATCTATTTGACTAATTTTATAGATAAATCTTACTTATAATACATGACATTATTGCAATGTATCCATCACGGATTTCAATTTACTTTTCTTCTTTCTTAACTTAAACCTACGCACGACATCTTCTAACATCCATAAAAGAATCGCCAGCAGACATAATGCATTGAGGCAATTTAATGTAACAGCATAACTGGTATTATCGCGTATCAAACCTGTAAAAAAGAGAAAATAAAAAGTATAAATTATCTTAACATAATTTATGTAAAACATATATATATATATATATATATAGAGAGAAAAATTTCTTTACCAATCAATGGTCCAAAAGCGAAAGAGAATAAGCCGGTCATTAATAGCTGTAAGCCGGATGCGGCTGGCAAACGTTTTAATGGCACATGGGCTGGTATGATTAGGCACCAAAACACCAAACGAAAGGCTTTATTCAAACCAAACCATAAAAATATCGTCAACATAACATAAAAGTTACGCGTCAATGAAAGAATAGCACGTCCTAAGCACATGCCCAATAAGCCTCCTATTACAAACGTTTTATTATTATAATTCATTTTTGATGTTATTAAGGGTATCATGAAACGCATGATTAAGTCACTAATGCCCAACGATGACATGGCCGTCGCAATTTCGGAATTGGCAAAACCAAAATCCGACAATATAAACGGTGTCAGTATAGTGAAATTGACTTCAACGAAACTTATCAAAGTCAGGCCTACAGCCAAATTCACGTAACTTAAGTCACGCAATAAATCTAAATCAAAGAACGCAATAATCTTTCGATAATCAACCATATGCCAAGGTCTCTTTTCATCTTTCTTTTGCTGAGATTTGCCAAAAGTTTGTCCGATTGTCTTGCCTTTCGTTATATGAGTCAATGACGATGTGAATGCTTTTTTGTAACAACTCTTTGAGTTCTTTAATGATTGCAAATCGGACACTTCGACTCGCTGCTCCGTACCGTTTGCAGAATTCTTATACGAGATCATAGGCAGTGATGGACATGAACGAAAGCAATTGTTACGAGCACGCGACAATACGGGAGTTGTTCGTTCCGCAGTTTCATTTAGTTTCATATTCGCATTCGCAAAACTTTGCTTAATATGCCATTTGACTGGCTGATAAACAAGGGAACAAGGTATTGCGTTTAAAGCGAAGCCAGCAAATAAAAGAACAGTGCCCTTGACGCCATAATATTCCAATAGATAAGTGGTAAGATATGGTAAACAAATTGGACCTATTCCCGATACACCGAACTGATAAGCAGTCGCAGTGCAACGTTTCTTTTTAAAAAATGTATTAACTGCTAAAGAGGACGCAGATAATATTAAGCCACGACCCAGGCCTGTAAAGAAAAATGAAAAGTAAAAAATCGCGTTAATCTATGCGTAACGTAGTTAGTTAACTTACCATAACAGCATGAATAGGAGAAAATATAGAAAATAAACGAATCAGCGATTGTTGATGTGAAGAGACCGAAAAACATTAAAAATGAACCGATCAAAGCCACCTGACGGTACGATAATCTTCGAAATAACGGCCCATTAAGAAGACCTAGAAAGGAAAACATAACATAACAATAATAATAAAAATTAAAAAATTTTTCAAATTTCTTTAGTCTTTTCACTCAGGTGCTTCGTCGCGAACATACCACTAAAAGACGATGCAGCAATTTGCACATTAATGATTGTAGTTAATTGTGAACTGGTTATGCCCAATGTTATCATATAATCACGAAATATTAAGCCAAATTGTTGAGTTATCGCTACCGTTACCAACTAAATGATCGAAAATGAAATTCATAGATCACTAGTTAGTGTTATGAACAAAAAAATTTACCAAACTAACGCCACTAGCTATGGCGACCAGCCAACCCCAACCGCCATCAGGAGCTATAAATTTATCGCCTAAGTCAATTTTCTCGCATTTCTTTCTTCTGCTAGATTTAACATAATCATAACTCTTATCCGCCACAATCAATAATTCTACAATAGTTCGATTGCTTTCAATATCCGGGCTTCTATCCCTCATTATATTGTTTATATAAATTTTTTTTTTTTTCTATTCTCTCTTTGCGAATAAGTAAACTATAAAGATATATTCAATTCTCGCTATCTACGATGCTCTTGTTGATGGGAACAGGGCGCAAGAATCGGAAAGAAGATTAAGAAGGAAGAATAGGATTAAGAAATTTTACTAATCAAAGTCGAAGAGAATTCAATAATTAATCTTTTGATATGGATTAATTCATCTCATGAATGCGACTATCGGTAAAAATGTAGCCAAATTTTTTTATAACATATATATTTTACTTATCTCTTACAATTATGCATAATTAATTTTCTGAAATCAATTAAACGCATTATTAAAGAAAAGAGTCGTTAATCTGATCCTATCTGTGAAATAATTGCACAAAATTGATTTCAATGAACACTCGACGAGACGTTAACTGTTTTCATATCTTGAAACGAATTTCAAATACCTTTAGTTTGAAAGAAACAAAAAGCATTGTCAATAATAATAATAATAATAGTATTATTTTTTATTGTTATTTTTATTATTATAGATAATTGCTATTATTATAAATTATTATTATTGTTACGGTTGTTACTAATAAAAATATTATTATTATTATTATTATGATTATTGATATAAAAACAACATAAAAAAATAATGATAATAACGCTATTATTGTTTTTATAAATAATTATTATTATAAGTAGAAATAATACTCTTATTATTATTTTTATTTATTTATTTATTTCCCTTTTTTTTGTGGCGGGGGGGGGGGAAGCCACTAAGCAAATATATATGAAATTTTGCGATAGACCCTAGAGACATAGATAGGAAAGAGAAATGAATAGTAACTTGTACTTTGATCAAAACTATCTAGGCTTTATAGCTTAAATAAGGCGTATTTTTTTTGGTG